ATATTATATTATCTGCAAGTACAGTTTTGAAGTAGACTATACATGCACAATATAATTCAAGTGTGGTTCCAATTAAATGTGACCCTTGACCACAAAACCAGTCTTAAGTCGCTTGGGTATATTTGTAGCAATAGCCAAAAACACATTGTATGGGTCAAAAATTATTGATTTTTCTTTTATGCCAAAAATCATTAGGATATTAGGTAAAGATCATGTTCCATGAAGATATTTTGTACATTTCCTACCGTAAATATATCAAAACTTAATTTTTGATTAGTAATATGCATTGCTAAGAACTTCATTTGGACAACTTTAAAGATGATTTTCTCAATATTTAGATTTTTTTGCACCCTCAGATTCCAGATTTTCAAATAGTTGTATCTCAGCCAAATATTGTCCTATCCTAACAAACCATACATCAATGGAAAGATTATTTATTCAGCTTTCAGATGATGTATACATCTCAATTTCGAAAAATAGACCCTTATGACTGGTTTTGTGCTCCAGGGTCACATATCATTTTAAACTAAAGGAAGACCAGAATATGGACTGAAATTAATCTTTTGTTGGTCAGGACATTTGTACTGATGTGCCATTTTTAGCTGCTCAGAGATTTTTGACAACAAATCAACTGATGTATATAAGTTGAATTCATTTTGTTTTCCTCTGTATGAAGAAATTACATGAACAGGTAATATCACAGAAATGACAAGCAATGATATACAGAACTTTTTTTTATCTGGTAGGTCAACACAAAGTGTTTTTTTTCTTCAAGGTATTTATGTAATGTGTATTGTATTCCCAACAATAAAATCTGACAGTGAAGTGAATTCTGCATTGGTGTCTCAGTAATATTATATAACAGTGACCTCTCATGGACACAACATCACATTGCTGCTCCTTCCTTATAAAAAAATAACCATGAAATCCAAAGTTTTCTAAAAGCCGCTTTTACTGTTTACAGATTTCACAATATCAGATATGCATGCATTCATAGACACATTCATACAAAGCAATTTACACATGAGAATGATGCAAGCAGAAGTCATTAATCTAAGTGGTGCATCTTATTTCAGGTCTTTGTATCTGTGATATTCAATAATAATCACTTTCAGCATTAAATATTAAATATTATAAACCAGGAGCACATGGCATCTTGAATAGCATTGGCAGGTGCCTTCCTCAACTGTTAGTTGACGGGTCAGAGTTTAGCTGGTTAGGTTCAACAGCTGGTAGACAATTACATCAGTATAATATCAAAAAACATGTTTGTTCATTGGCAACTGTTCAAATGTAGCAATGCATTCTGATGAAACATTGTTGTGCAAGCAACATATAAATATTTATGTAGAATTTCGTTCTAAGATTTACAGGGAAAAATGGTATCTTGTGTCTTGAAGGTACAATTCTGTGATATATTTGTGGTACTGTATGTATAAAGTGATTAAAAATATTAGTGGTTTATATTTGTGGTTTCTGAAATATTTGACAGATCCTTTAAAACCTTTTGTTTAGACTTCCTTTTGTGAGGTTCAAGCCTTAGTTAGGGGTCAGATTCATTTTAATATTAAATTAATAAATATTTAATATTGATCAATAGTAATTGACATTGTAATAGTAAATATAATTCATATTTAGTATATTTATTAAACACCACGTGAACTAGAGGTACTGTACTGCATACGTAATCGCATTATTAACAACATTAGCAGACAGACCAAAAATAAAATTACATACATTTCAGTGTATTTTACAGCCTACATGTTTTCAGCACTTTTTATTGGTTCCAAAAGGATTATACATTATTTAATTTATAAAATATAAGAAATCTGATTTGTAAAGTGCACACATCTTCTTATGTGTATTGCATGTATATGGTAATATGGCAATTACACATCACATACACACATTTCTGTCACACACTCCAATTTTCTGTTAAGATTGGTTTCTAAATCCTTCAAAAATAGTAAATACAATGATTGTTTATTTTTTCAGGCCACAAAATTCACAGGTAAGCTATATGACATAAAATATTTCCAAAACACTCAGACCAGAACTTAAAGGCAGAGTAAGTGATTTCTGGTAGCCAATGTTGATATTTGAAATCACCAAAACAAACACGCCTCTACCCCAAAAGGGTCTTGCCCCTATTTTGATAGCTCCGCGCCACATATACGTACGCAACCCAGGCAACGACACACATTTCAAATGGTTTTCAACGGTCGTTTGATCGCGTCCAGTGTAGGCAGACTTTAGCTGTTGTAGACACGGTGTTACTCACCTATTGAGAAGAAACAAAGCAACCTCGGCGTCCGATCAGTTTTCTAAAGTGTTTTTGAAAAATCACATACCCTGCCTTTAATGACGTCATCTTTTTGCATTTCCAGAGTGTTTAGTCACGTGGCATTTACGGCTCTGTGATTGGCTAAAAAATAAAAAATAAATACAGTATTCCTGTTCATGTCAATGGAAATTTTCTGAAGCATGCACCAGCTGTGCCGAATAGTTACCGTACCGTTCAGTGCTGTTACGTCGGTGACACAAGTGTTTTTATGTCGGCATTGGCTAACAATACTACAGTAACTTTAAAATGCATCTGCGTTTTTTTACTCAAACTTGTAATGTTTAATTGTTTTATCAAACAATCTAACCTTGATCGCTATTATCAGATTAAATAGGCAACCTTTTAAAGTAATAGCTCAAAAATTTAAATTAGCTGAAAACGTATTCCCCCTCTGGCCATCCAAAGTGAGTTTGTGTCTTCATCAGATTTGTAGAAATGTAGCATTGCATCAGTGTCTCAGCAATGGATGCTCTGCAGTGAATGGGTGCCGTCAGAATGAGAGTCCAAACAGCTGATAAAAACATCACAATAGTCCACAAGTAATCCTCAGCACTCCAGTGCATCAGTTAACATCTGGAGAAGACAAAATCCATCAAGATGTTTTTAACATCAAACTGTTGCTTCTGGCTAAAATATGACTCCATAATAACGCTTCCTTCCTGGCAGTAATCTTACCACTAAGAGCAAAGGATGAGTCTGGTGACATGATAGAGACACTATTCAGTTGAACTGCAGGTCAA